TCTATCTATCTATCTATCTATCTATCTATCTATCTATCTATCTATCTATCTATCTATCTATCTATCATCTATCTATCCATCTACATCTATCTATTTATTTATCTATCTCTACCTACCTATCATCTATCACCTCTGAAAATACCAAAAGGCTTTATATTATTTGCTTTGTTTATTAGTAATGTTGACTAGCATGCAAAAAAAAAAAAGAGATCATGATCACTCCTTTTTAATACATATCACTGCATTGGAATTCTTCTATATACTAAAACCTAAGACTGACTGTCAAGAATGATTGAAATTGAAGACAATATGTACTGCACTCACTTGTACCGAAGAATCGCCCATAATAAATTTGGCTCCTTCTGTAACAGCCAAGTATGAGAAGCGAAGTTGGTCTGCTGTTTGTATAAGCCCCATTCGATAGTTCCTCATTTCTAAAAGAACCTGTTTAATGTTGACAGAAGAAGGATCTTTCCTTTTGTCCATCTGCACAAAGAGAGGTGACACTCATTAAACTATCTTACCATGTTCCCCAGAATTCACAGGGTTTTAAAAAATGAAACAACATAGATGATGTAAAAAATTCATCTATCAACAAAAATGTTCATGAATGCAGGAACAATTATGCAACAAACCAGAAAAATAATTCCTGAGAACAATCACATGCAACTCAACAAGAATTTGATCCCATAAAAGCAGTACAGTACTACAAATTTTCATTTGCAGAGCAACACTGATATTAAGAGTAGTCAAGTCTGCTAAAATGACAAGATTTTCAAAAAAACCCACAAAGACAGCACATTATATTACAGCTGAATTTCTGTGAACTTCACCCCATAATAATATAATCTTAAGGGGGCTCAAAGAATCTTATTTCTTACCACAACATATTAAAAATGACTATTGCTGTGAAAATGCTTGCAGCTATCATGCTTAGTTCCAATACCCAACAATAGATAAGGAATTGCAATACCTCAAGCCCCTTAGAAACAGTCAGTTTTATTTGCTATCTTTTATATCAGCCCAGAAGTGAGTTCTACATCTGTAAATCACATTTCAGAATTTATAACTTCACAATAAAATGTTCTTAAAATAAAGTCCATTACTTTTAGACTAAAATATTTTATAGCAATGAATATTATGTCCATAAAGCCTAACCTTGAATGAGATGGTGGTTTCTAAGTAAGTAGGTAGGTAATTATAGATAGATAAGAGGTAGATAGACAGAGATAGATTGATAGATAGAATATTTGATTTATTTATCAAATGTGTATGCTGTCCATCTGGGCAAAGGAAACTCAATATTAGCTCTATGATAGAAGACAGATAGAATGAGATACAGCAATGAAAAGATGATAAATTATCATAGTTTTTCTGGTATCAACCCAAATCTCTTTTGGGCAACATGAATGTTAGAAATTCAGCAACTGAGCCTTATACCAATTTTGAGAATCTAATATTTAATTACTTAGAAAAACCCAAGGAAATAATCTCAAAAATTATATAGGTTGTTACCGCAATTAATAGTAGGAGATCCACCTCAAGATTTAAAGAAAGCTTGAGATACCAATCTTGGTAAATCCATACAAGAGATAAATTGCAGAATTATAGAAATCCACCTCAGCTTCAGTCCAAGAACTGCAGTGAAACATTATGTACCGATGGCACTTGACCTCAGTTAGATTGGCACTTATCTATCAGAATTATCTTTGCCAATGTTGGAGAGATTGTCAAAAAAGATAGCTTTTCTTATCTCTGTGAAGGTCATGTTTGATATAAAATTTCTGATAGATAAGTATCAGTGCTAAATAAAGAATTGAAAATTCCCCAGTTAGTCCAAGTCCAAATTGTGGTGTGTGTGTGTGTGTGTGTGTGTGTGTGTTTCAGTAAGAGATGAGTGAAGAACACTGAAAGTGTTTGCCAAGAATATATATTCCCGGCAGGGTTACCCAGCAAAAGCAAGCAGACAGCGATTAAGGAAGATACTGGAGGCAGATCCACATTTTCACGACAATGCCAAAAGCATCAATTCACACTGAGTGGGAGAAGGCAATGATAAACCACTCCTGTAAATTTTTATCAAGAAAATCACATGGATGTCAGATGAGTTTGTTATTTATTTATTTACTTATTCAACTTGTATGCCATGATGCTAGGCATCTTACAATCATTAAAACCAATAAAAAACTATAAAACATCAAATAATAAAATTAGCAACACTACAGATAAGATTATAGCAGAGAAATAATGCTGTTTCACCACGTTTACCAGCATGTAAAAGGTAAAGGTTCCCCTTGCACATACGTGCTAGTCGTTTCCAGCTCCAGGGGGCAGTGCTCATCTCCGTTACAAAGCCAAAGAGCCAGTGCTGTCCAAAGACATTTCTGTGGTCATGTGGCCAGCATAACTAAACACCGAAGGCGCACGGAACTCTGTTACCTTCTCACCAAAGTGGTCCCTATTTTTCTACTTGCATTATTACATCCTTTCGAACTGCTAGGTTGGCAGAAGCTAGGACAAGTAACAGGAATTCACTCCGTTATGCAGTGCTAAGGATTCAGATCAACAAGCTCAGCGTCTTAGCCACTGAGCAACCACATCCCTTATGAGGCAGGCTTTAATAGGAGCTCGAAGTCATGTCCACTTGGATTCATCCCTCATTTTCCTCCAGGGGGCACTCTAGGCATCTTTTAGCCCTCGGAACCCACAGCTCCTCTCTGAACCATGGGGAGTAACTGGAGCGATGGGTCAAAAGAGGCTTTGGCTGCACTTTGGTTCCAGGACATAACCAGAGTCTCAGCAGTACCATGCAGTAAATCTGCCAGGAGATCCCCAAGTTCCCTCTGGAATCCTTTTTGGTTCATCAGTCTGACATTTTAGTTGATTTTTAAAAAAAAAACATTTTCCATTATCTTTTTTAAAAATATCTTGACTTTATGCTATTTTAGTTACTTGATAATGTAAAAAAAGTAAAACTAGTAACCAAACGTAGGGAGGGGGGAACATTAAAGGAATACAGTGCAGGAATGTACTACTTAATTACACCACCTCTGCCTCTCTCCAAAGCACTGAAAGCATAATCCTTATTACTTCTGCTAATAGTATTTCAGCCGTGCCGTTTAGTCACATCCTACAATAAACCACAAAATGGTTATTTGTAAACCCGGCCCACCAAGATGTACTAAGTAAATCATGCTTAAGCAAATAATGGCTTCATGCAACCTGTGAACCTAGCTAAATTCATCCCTAGAGCCACAAGGATTACAAATTAGAAATTTACTAAGGGACGGGAAAAAATAAAAGAATACTATACTTTCTAGGATACAAAGATCCAAAGTCCCTGCTTTTAGACATATAATCATATCAGCATGGAGTACATTTTGATCAGAAACGCATCCAAGGAATGTATTGGGCAGCATGCAACTGTGGCAATCCTAATTACACTTATCCTAAAAGCTATTGAGTAAGCATCACTGAACACAATGGATCTTACATTAAAGTAAACATGCTTAGCATTGTAATTCTTTGTAAGGGTTGTTGCTGATGTGTTTGTTTTTTTCCCAAAAGTTGCAGGATGTACTTCCAAATATGTCCTACAGGCTTAGGATAGCATGGATTTCCCACCAGGCTTTTGAATAGGCTGCTATTGACATGTAGGAAGGCACTGAAGAGAGTCCTGGAGAGCTGCTCATGAATTATTTGAAAGCAACTTAAAATTTAAGGCAACAAAAATTTAAAAAGGATAATGTCAAGCATTGCCTGAATCAAGAGAAACACTGTTATTGGAACAAGAAAGGAGCAGCGTTGGGAAAGAATGGGTGGTAAGAATTGACGAACAGAAATTTATTTAATATTCTGCTGGTGCTCAGCTTTGATGTCAAAACACAGCATTGAAAAATGGGGTTTGCTGTACTTCTCTGAAAAGATTTATGGGAAAACTTCAACAATAGTGGTTTTTGTGTCCCTCCCTCCTGCTGTGGCCTCTTCTTCAAGGTCAAAACTGAAAAGAATCTGGGGTATTGTTTCACTTGTGGGCCTCCATATCAGTTCCTACTCCAGTCAGCAGCCTTTACTGCAGAAGCATAATGATCAAAACAAAAGCACATCGCAAAAGTCCCTGAAAGGTATTTTGCCCTGAGCCCAGCTGAACCAACCATATAACCAGCCCAAATTCCTGCTTTGCCTATCAGCCATTCTTACCAAGAGAAGACAAGTATCAACCAGACAAAAAGTTCCTGATCTTCCAATTCCAGCACTGCAATGCACCACAATGGGACCATGCTGAGGACTCAGGGACCCCGATTCTCTCACTTTGAACAGGAAGTTGAGGAATGAAGCTGGAGATTCTGGGACTCCAAAGTCAGGCCACGTCGTGTAATGAAAATGCAGAATTTCTCGTGTTTCGTGTGTCTGTAAAGTGTGAAGTAAATTAATAAATAAAAGATGAAAAATGGACTTCTCTTGCAAGTTGGAAGTGGGAAGCATCTTGTTAAGCTTTGGATAATGCCTAACAAATGCAAAGTTGCAGGAAGTAACAGCAGGATGGTGATAATGCCATTCCCAACAGACATCACAGAATAATAATCCTTGAAATGAGCAATATTCAAAACTAGAATGAAATACTATCCGAAATCAAAACTTAAGACTTTTTATCAACTATGGAAATTCTTGAAGCATTGATGCTAAACATAACCCATTTTAATAAAGAGAATCAGTGCTGCAAAATACAGCACACTGATTAATTTTCATCATACTTGCCATGAGGTTCTTCAGTTCTAATAGTCGGACTGTATAATAGGATTTTACGTCTTCTGATATTAAAGTCAATGTGAAGTTTGTATCTTCAAAGAACATTTCTTTCTCCTCTTTTTGTGGCCAATACTGTGCACATTTTATCTGAAGGGTAGAAAGTAAAAGAAGAGTTATATGAAAATTATTTCACAGAATGAATACAGCTAAACATAAATACACTCACCAAATCATCAATATATATGACAGCCAAGAGAACACCATTGTAAGATTATACTTTCAATCTGTATAGCTCTGCACAGATGGGTACATTTATATGCATGTTCATTCAGACATACGTAGAAAGAAACTGAGATGTAACTGTTTAAACCAGGAGTCCTCAAACTTGGCAACTTTAAGACTTGTGGACTTCAACTCCCAGCTATGCTGGCTGGAGAATTCTGGGAGTTCAAGTCCACAAGTCTTAAAGTTGCCAAGTTTGGAGACCTCTGGTTTAAACTCAAGAAAAATTCAAATAATTTTTCCTTAAGACACTGCAACTACTTAGCACACCACTGCTATCTCAATAATTTGGCTCGACAATAGATTCTGAATTTCTGGATCTACTTTGGGATTACGGAGTATGTCACTAAGAAACATGACAAGGCAACAAAATTATCCAAGTGATTGAAGGGACAGTCCTTAGAGAATAGTTGGATGTTCACCAGGACAACCCCAGGCACAGAGTTTTAATTGCAATTCAAATGAAAGAATTGCAATAAAGACAGCCAGCATACCTCATACCTGGTTTCAAAAATCACCCTTTATGAAGTAATTTTGATGGCATATGGGATAGCTTAAAGACTACAATAGTTTATTGTAAATGAAGTCTGAGTTGCTCATTATCTAAGCTTTTGACTAATCACACCAATTTTGAAAGAAATTATCTTCCAGGAAATCCAAGAAATGCATCATTAGGATATGTACATGCTAGAAATATCTATCTAATCCTGGAAGATAGGGAGTTTTATTAGAAAATTCTGGAATTAAGTTGCACTAAGTAACATACAAGTTGGTCGCAAAAAATACGCCCTTGCTAAATGTTATTCTGCAGAAGACAAAATAATTTCTCTGGCTAGGATTATAACTCAGCAGGAGTTAAGAAGGAAATGTTCACTGTTCATGGATTTTTAGTGTTCTATTTTCAGAGCAAGAACCTTATTCTTTCTTCCTTTGTTTCTATCAAGTAGCAAAGACATTAATTATTATACTCATTAAATACCAATGAAAAATAATTAAGCATGGGATGATTATACTGAAGGTCTTTTATGGAACAGAATCAAATGGAATTCACAAAAGAAATGCTTTCAAGAAGTTGATTCATTATTAGAGAGAACAACGTTTTTCTTCCTTTCAACCTGAACAGCACGATTCATCTGGATATAGTAGAAAATTATAACCGCCTGTGAACTTATTTTTCCTTACAACATATAAGAGAATTCACTGCATGTATGATTTTTTTTTTTTTGTACCTCATGGTGACAAATAATGATCCCTATACATTGAATGTCCCACACAACCATTTGTTTAGTGGCATTGGAAGCCTGTTCCAAAGAGTTCTCTATAATTTCATACTTTGTTCCAAATTATCGGTAATAGTGAAAAGTACATAAAGATAATTGAGCCAATGCTAAAGTCAGAGCACTTTTTCTTTTAGGTCTGTTTCACTACTTGTATTACTAAAGAAAGGACCAGTTTATCCGAGGGACTTGACGTCTCTTGCTGGTTACAACCCCCCCCCCCCCCCCCGAGCCACTAAAGCAGGGAGGCAAGGAATGCTGCAGGTCCTGTCCCCTAAGGAGATACATCTGGCAGGGCTTTCTCCATGGTGGCTCCCTCCTTTTGGAACAACATCCCTGCAGAAACTAGACTGCCCTGCACTTTGACAGTGTTTTATAAGGCCCTGAAGTTTTGCCCATCGAACGGCTTATTTGTGTGTTGTCGCTGGGGCTGGGTGGGTGATTATTTTTTTATATATACGATCGTGACCAGAGGTTCTACTGTATCTTGTGTTTTTATTGTTTGTAAACTGCCTAGAGTTCACTGTAAGTGGCTATATATGGGGGGTGGGCGGGGGAGATATATATGGTGGGTGGGGGGAGAGAGATAAAGTTAGTTTAGGGACTACAAACTACAAAGTTAACCAAACATGGTCTACTATTATCTGGCTTTTCTGCAAATGTCCTGAACAATTTTCAGACTGTTTAGGAATTATTTAATCAGCCATTTGCATACTAATTTGATAATTAATTAACTAATTTGATACTAATACCTGAGATACAAAATTCCATTATGCAATAAACAATGAGCATATAAAATGTATTTAATCTTGAACTATTTTTGTTTCTTTAGAAAGATTATCTATAGGCAGACATTCAACATAAAAAATTATGGGGAGATAATGACTAGGAAAAGGAATATGAAGAAAATTATCATCAGCTATGCAATACACTTTCTGAAATAACATATTTCCAAGGGAGCATTTTCCTTATCAACTTAAAGAATCTTTGCGTGCCTGTACACAGCAAATATTTTCTAGGCATGTTATTTGCTGCATGGTCATTTCAGGCACAGGCCAGATAACCTACAACATAGTCAACATTTTCAATTATTAAGTCTTGCATTGAGAAGAGAGGCATTTCAGAACAGAAGATAAATTGTCTTTAAGAACAAAGAAAGTTGCCATATAATGCCAATTTTTTACTTTACCTCCTTCAACATAGTCTATTGCAAATTAATTGGTAGTGGGTCTTCTGTAATTTCAGATGGCTCTTCTACTTTAGGCCAGTTAGGGATTGAATAGCTGTTTTCATTATTACTGTTCTTATTGAAGGTTTTTGGAATAAGCTTTTGAGAAATCCAGCATTTCTTGGATTTATGACATTGAGAACTATTGCTCCACATAGTATTTACTTCTACTTGAAGTAAGCTTTCATACAGATTTAAAAAGAGTCTATCGAAAACACATGCTACTGAGAACTTCTAGTGCCAAGTACCATCAAATTGCAGATATTGGCTTCCATACTAAAAAGTAGAAGGTGAACATTCTTGGCTTGAAATCTCCTTCCCCAAGAGGTTCTACCACAACTGTTATAAACATTAAAATAAAGCTCCTGAAAGAGGATGAACTATGTCAAATAATTCTTTGTAAGGTCTTTCGGATCTTGATTTTCATTACATAATGAAAGGAGACTGTAAAAGATCTAGTTCAGTTTGTAGCATCCTATTTACACTAGTCAGTACAAACATATTTCAAGTGACTAGAAAAGCAGAAATGATGCCTCAATATGAAAATCAATTCGATCAAACACTTCTTTGCTGGCACAAAGCAATAATATTTAGGTACATTTACATGAGCTAAAATAAACACATGCAAATTGTGATTCTGGGGAAGGGCTTAAAATATAGTATTTGCTGGAAATTTGGTGCTGGTGATTAAGAAAGTTTTTTTTAATGTTGCACTGAATTTCCAGGCTGCTTTGCTTAAAAAAAAAACATACAACAAGGCTGTTAGACATGGCAAACTTAAGTTCTGAACTTGAAAGATACCATTGTATTTTCATTCTGCTTAAACAACACTTCTTTTACTTTAGAAAAATGCTTTGTGGGGTGATTTTTTTTATTTTTGCTAGATTAAAAACTTTAGATCATTTTTACTAGATTTCTAAAATGTACATGAATTATGCACCCATGTTCCCAAAGGAGTTAAAATTATATATACTTACTGATCCCTTTTCCATCACTCTGTTCAGCATGACAACTCCACGGCTTTTCTGTTCCCAAATCATCTCCCAAAAGTGACCACAAGTATTTGGAAGTGGACCCTGAAAAAGATACTGAATTTTCAAGAAAGAGCAGTATTCATAGGGCACAAATTTCTGAAAACTATGATCAAACAAAACTTATTTAATTATTCTAAATATGACACCATGTGGCTTCCATTTCTAGGTATGTAAAATCTGGCATCCAGATTGGGGCAATTTAGAAGCAACAACAAGCAAACAAGCAATTGCAAGCTAGTTAGCTTTGTTTTGAAGTTGCCAGCTAGTAATATTTAACCATAGATAAGTCAAAGCTCTTTGTACAAATTAGGCAAGAATATTAAAGCCTATTTCCAGAAGGAATAACAGAATAATAGAATAACAGAGTTGGAAGGGACCTTGGAGATCTTCTAGTCCAAACCCCTGCTTTAGGACAGGAAACCTTACACCACTTCAGATAAATGGTTATCCAATTTCTTTTAAAAAACTTCCAGTGTTGACACACCCACAAGGTCTGAAGGCAAGGAAGATGGGACAGGAAAGTTCTTAAGGCAAAAAGGTCACTCAGCAGGATAACCTATATTCTGTAGTTAGTGCAACATCTGATTTGCTGGGATGAGGAATCATTAAAACTCATGGGTAGGAAGCTCAATAACTTTTAACAGTTCTTGGTCTTAGAGAGTGTTTACTCTTCCTGCTAGATGTTTATCCCATCACTTTTAAGGTAACCTTCTAAGTCAAAGGTTCTTGTTTTTCCATCAAATTAAGCTAGACTGCACTGACATACTGAAGCACAACTATACAAAATTGATCAGAATTTAAACAATAGCAAAAAATCAAAGATAAGCTTTGTCCCTGTAAGCCTGGCATATTCTGTAATTCTTACATTGAAAGTACACAACAGTTTACAGAAAATGGCTGTAATTCATTTGGTTAATTTACAAATGACAATTAGAATATCAAATGTATGTTGTCTTTTGTCACAATTAATACACACACACACACACACACGTGTATGTGTATGTGTGTGTGTGTGTGTGTGTGTTTTTGTGTATATACATATACAATATATGTGTATGTATATACAATAATAAAAAGTAATCAATTGCTCTCACTGGTTATAATACAAAATACAATACACTTATTTGCTTTCCTCTCACTTATGGTCCTATCTACCATCTTTCCTCTAAACAGAAATCAGGAGCAAGCAACTTAGTATCAATGAGAATTTTGGGCTAAAACTCAAATCGATGTAGCTTAATGGGATAATGGAAACTGTGGACTCAAACACTGCTCATCCAAATTCTACCAAGGCTCCTGTCATTCAGTTGAAGGATCTGAAGTATTACAGGTGACATAATAAGAATCTCCAGCTAAATGTTAGTTTTGTGAGATAGCATTTTGGTGCTGATTCTTGAACTTTAAAACGTTGCCTACAGAGCTACTTTTATAAAGATTCTATACTGAAATTTTCATGCTTTTAGATTTAATAAAACATGAAACTAAAGAACAGCTTCCTTAATTTGTGCCCAGTGGCTTCTTAGTATTTTGACATATCTGCTATATAATACAGATTTCTTTTAAAAAAGAAACCAGAAGTTAAAACTTATGTTAATCATCTTCAACAGCTCAGATCCAAAAAATTAAAGGAAAAGTGTTGAAGCAGAGCTAAATGAACAGATGAATAATTCAAAGTACCTAAGGGGACAAGATTTTATCAAAGGAAGCAGCTTTGGAAAGAGAAAATGATGTGAACAACAACCAACAGGAAGGGTGTGGCACACCACTTCCTACAGTGTGCTATTTCAGGAGAAGATAGCTTGATTCTGTCTTAATAACAATAGGCAATATGCTAGATTAGCATTCCTGAGATTAGTGTCTTCCAGATGTGTTTGATTGAAAGGCCCTTAATCCCTGGTCATCATTGTCCTAAGAGTTGTTCAAGAAGTACCCACATCTTCCTAGGTATTGCCCATACTTCCAAAAAACATGTAATTCTGAAAGCCACTGAGGAAAGGATTAGCAGTTTAAGGACAATTCTTTTAGCTAGAACTGCATACTGCCCACAGTTAAACTATAAAGCTTGGAAACATGTGACCACATTTTGGGTGCTCAAGCAACTGGCCCATATCTACATTCCATGGTCATGTGACTGGCATTTACAATATTTTTACTAAAAACTGGCATTTATTTTCAATTTTCAGCAAACATGCCCCACCGCCAACAATGAATTTGCTTAAACAATCATGGTATTAATAACTACCACAGAAAAATAACTGTAAATTTGGGAAAGCCACATGATTACAACTGCCATAACATGATAACAGGTAGGCTCCATTATGACTGTAAGTCGAGAACTACTTATATTAGCAACTAGATGTCCTTAAGACTTTAATCTAGCCATATCATAAACCCTGTCAGTATTCTAAAAGTTCCACAACTCTTCCTTCATAGCATTTTGTCCTATTTGACTTGAGGGACTTTGCTGTCAATCATAATCTAATGAGTTTCTATCCATGCAGCGTCTTGATAAAATACAGGAGGGATTTATCATTGCTTTCTCCACAGTATGAAATGATACCTTTGATGTTTTCACTAAAGTCATCATCTGCCTGCAGCATCACTATTTTCCAATATCAGTGCCTGCTTGATTTAGCTAGGAGGACTTTCACACCACAGGTGATCCTGCTGGGGATATATATATATATATATATATATATATATATATATATATATAGCCTTGTCATATACACCTGTTGTTCTCTGCTCATCTGTGTCAGAAACATCCACCCTCACCAAAAAGCGGCATTACAGGAACTGGGAAAGGGCAGAATAGCATACTATACCTAAAGCATATAACTGCATGATAGTAAAGCATTTCACTTGTTTTCCCACACAGTTACCAGCTGTGATCTCCAAGGCCAAAATACAGGAGAGAAAGACTACCATTTCCTTTCTATTATTCTCTTAAAGCTCTTACCTGTGTAAGGATATAACTTCTGTTTGCCTCCTCCATTTTTATCAAACTTGCATTGACATAATCATTGTCACCTTGCTCCAGCTTAATTCGGCTGTGGTCAACTACAGAATGGATAAGAAGCCACGCTATTAAACACTTATATAATATTTAAATTTTGCTAAACAGTTAGTTTCAGATGAAAGAAGAAAGCTCTTTTTGTTTCCAAATATATGTAACACAAAGCAAAACCTTTATTCTTAAGAAAAGTTCCTATACCATTATCAAGTGTTCTTGGGAAAAATATTTAATAAGGTATGATACCATGAGCTAAATGTCACGCCCGATGTTATTTTTTCATTCTACATAAAACACTGATACAATGCTTTCTGTAAAAATTCTCAAAGCGTTTTAAGAAACAGATTTATAGTTAGAAAACAGCAGTAAGTGTTGTGATTGGAAGGATTGGTACTGTTAGGAATTTTGAATCTGATGACTGTTAGATCGTGGATTGACGTCAGAACCAGGGAACGTTAATCTGAAGGGCAAGCCAGTTAATTAGCACGTTGCCTTAATGGGTATAAAAGGACACAGCTGAGCTGGTGCCTTTTGCCAGAAACAAAATGTCTATTTGAGTGAGGACGTTACTGCAAAGAGATCTCTGTTTGAATTTTGAAGGGGAATTCTAACCGTTTCTGCCAGTCGTTATCTTGTTATTTTCCTTCAGTTTGATTTGATTGTGAAACGGCTGCTTTGTGTTTGTTCGTTTGAATCTCCAAGAGGAGACATAACATTATTGTTTCTGGCCAAAACAAACCATCTTTCAAGCAAGATGGATTTAAATCAACTGCAGCGTTTGGTAGAGCAGCAGCAACAGCAAATAAATCAGCTCCTGCAAAGCAATGTGACGCTTCAGAATCAGGTAACACAATTGCTGAATTATGTTTCCAGCTTACCAAGTCCTGCTGCTGTTCCCCCTGCCCCTCCTGTGAGGAAAAGCCCAGTATCCATGCCGGAGAAATTTTCTGGGCAAACGGACATGTTTCCGGCATTTCTGGGGCAGTGTCAATTATTTATGTCCTTGAGGCCTGAAAAGTTTCCAAATGATCGGGCCAAGACAGGATTCATTCTTAGCCTCTTATCTGGGCAGGCTGCTAATTGGGCTACTCCTTTGTTAGTTCAAGATAGCCCGTTGTTGAATGATTTCCAGGGTTTTCTTCAACAAATGAGAGTGATGTTTGAGAACCCAATTAAGATACAAACTGTGGACAGACGTTTATGGGACATAAATCAGGGGAAACGTTCCCTGCAGGATTACGTTGCAGAATTTCGTTTATGTTTGGAATCCAACTGGAACGAACCGGCTCATATGGCTGCATTCCAGGAAGGCTTGTCTGATGCCATCAAAGATGAGCTGGTCCATTCAGAGAGGGCTTTAACTTTGGATGCATTGATAGTTCAGTGCTTACGAATTGAAGCTCGTTTACAGCAACGTGGACGCAAATGGCTCGGTATGGAACCATCTTCGTTTTCTCGTGCACAACCCACGCCACCGAGAGTTTTCCAACCCATGGTTAAGACAGAGGAGCCGATGGAGTTGGGAGCACTCCGCCCTCGCTTAACAGCGCGGGAACGTTCGAGACGGTTCCAGGAAGGCTTGTGCCTTTATTGCAGGGGTCTGGGACATTTTGTTAATTCCTGCAATCGGAGAGGGAACCGCAGACCCGCACCTGAAACCACTCTTGGCTCGTCAGGAAAAAAGGGTAGACCTGACCTCAAGGAAACCCTAGGTCGGACACATTTCACATCCCCACCTCAAATTGCTGAAGTAAATCCTGGCCCTCCTCGGCATTTACTTTTGGACACTCGGATTTTTCTACAGTCACAGAAGGAGGGAATTCCTGCTGTTGCGTTGGTGGACTCAGGGGCTACAACCAGCTTTATGGACCGAGCTTTTGCTAAGCTCTATGGGATCCCATTGGTTGCTGTACATCCACCCATTAAGGTGGAAACCGTGGATGGGCATGAGCTCAAGTCTGGGCCCATTCGTTTTGCCACCCAGCCAGTGCGTATGATCATTGGGGATCATGAGGAGGCGATAAGTTTTTATATCACCTCGAACCTTCATCTCCCTTTGGTGCTCGGAATGTCCTGGTTGCGTTTGCACAATCCGTTGGTGGCTTGGTCGCAGAACGGTATTTCTTTTCCAAGTCTCCAATGTGTAGACCACCTGAGACAATTGGAACGAGCGACGCCTCCATTGGCTGTGGGAGACAGAGTGGGGTTGTCAACGAAACATCGTCAAGTTAATCATCAGACTCGGGGGAAGGGCCCTGCGGTGGGGGATAGTGTTGTGATTGGAAGGATTGGTACTGTTAGGAATTTTGAATCTGATGACTGTTAGATCGTGGATTGACGTCAGAACCAGGGAACGTTAATCTGAAGGGCAAGCCAGTTAATTAGCACGTTGCCTTAATGGGTATAAAAGGACACAGCTGAGCTGGTGCCTTTTGCCAGAAACAAAATGTCTATTTGAGTGAGGACGTTACTGCAAAGAGATCTCTGTTTGTTTGAATTTTGAAGGGGAATTCTAACCGTTTCTGCCAGTCGTTATCTTGTTATTTTCCTTCAGTTTGATTTGATTGTGAAACGGCTGCTTGTGTTTGTTCGTTTGAATCTCCAAGAGGAGACATAACAAGTATGTTAAAACAAAGGACACAAAGCATGTAAGTTAATGTATGAGTGGGAACAGGAAAAAAATCAGTTATCATTCACACAAGGAAACTCTTCAATAAACATCTAAATAATAGAACAGATATTTGCTTCTTCAGAGGGTGGTGGAGATAGAACACTCCACACAGTGACACAATCAATAAGAAGGTATTTTGTAGGAGACATCCAGACTGAGCCCAAGGGAAGGATCAAGTGCATCATCAGTTTTGAGTCCCTTCGTACCTACAAGAGCCCACCTTGAATTCCATTGATTCTTATCTACTGCAATTTGCTTTGACAATTTGTTAAATTGTCACATGTATTTTGCTCTTTTCTGAACCTGGTCCATTTTATAAAAAAAATATTTCCTAAAGTGTGGTGCCAGAAATGATTATAACACTCACAGTGGGATCAGATCAATGAAGGATAGAGTAGTTCAGATTCTTGTAGAGAGCTTTCACATGCAATAAATCTATACTTCAGCACGGAATGTATATAACATTCAACAACAAATAGCTCTATTTTGTCCTAGTTGCAGCTTCTCAAACAGGTACATGAATGGTACCATGTAGAATGCTTTACAGTAAGCTAAATGTTGGATTATCAGCACGTGGGTTATATTAGTTAAATTACCTGTAACCAGGAAAACCAGATGAAGCCAACCATGGATGCTCCTAGCAATATAAACTACCCTGGGCTCTAGAAATACTGCAGAAGAACTTTTTTTTTTGATTGTGTATAATCTTATTTAGAACAAGCATAATACAGAGAGACATAGAGATATGTTAATATAGAATTTACCATCTTATATGCAGGATTTTATAATCTTTTCCATAAACCATTGCTTTCATTCTCAGGAGAAACTGAAATCTCTATCATAAAAATACTTAATTGCTTCACCTAAATTGTCATATATATATATATATATATTGTTCAGTTAACATTTCTTAGAATCCAACCCACTGATTATCAATATTCAAAGCGGTCTGACAGTTTTAAAGATCTAAAGTTTGTTCCCTTTAGCCGACCCAGATATAAAAGAATAGGGGTTTTACAGGAAAACCAAACTGACTGGAAACCATTTTATCTAAAACAAACAAAATCAATGGCGGTTACCATAAAAAGAATCTCTAGAACTGATCAGTAAGCAAAATTATGTGCAACACTATAGCATGTATTGAGTTTTCCTGGAAGGCTCAACAGATTTTTAGTCTATTAAATGATTGTAGAGATATTCTAACATATGGAGAAGAACAGATTGGCAATCTGAGTGTGTAGCACAAATGACAATCAAAGTAAAGCTCCTGAGTAGATGACTGTAACACTTGGAGATGAGCAGATGCAAAAGAAAACCAGGGTCGTGATGTGAATGTGAGACAAAATTTTAACCACAAGTATTTGATTTTTAAATCCCCTTTCACCATCTCCCACCCACACTAATTTTTTAGGATTTAATGAGAACATTTCTGTAAGCTTCCCCCACCCCACTTTGGAATTAATTGCCATATGTCATAGCCACTATTTCTACATAACACCCTTCCAGATAGCTGAAAAGACCCCTATGGGTCTTTTCAAAGTTACATATTTCTAGTTTTCTTGTTGATAGATTTCAGTTTCTTAATTGCTCAGTCAGCCTTATTGCTCTTTTTGGAATCTGTTCCATTTTATCAAAGTATTTCCTATGTGGTGCCATAAATGGTTATAACATTCAAAGTGGGAACAGACCAATGAAGGATACAGTGGACCTATTGTTTACCATTTTTGTGGGACCTATATTTTCTTTAGTGCAATCTAACATTGGTCTTTTTACCACATATCCAATGCCAACTCACATTTAGTGCATAATTGACTATAATCCCAAGGTATTTTTCTGATGTATTTGAAGATTTTTAATTGTTACCTTTACAGTGATGGCCATTTCAACCTCCTTTCCAAAGCCTTGCATATTTCATGCACATTTTGGTCTCTTTTTGTTGTGCTCTTTGTACTGTATTTCTGCTCTACCATGAGATAATTCAGAGCAGCAAGCCATGATCCAGGTGTGTAAATTCTTCTACATAGGATTATTTTATCTAATCTCTGAATATAAATGACTCTTTACAATTACACAACTCACTCCTGGATAGTGCTTTTTTCAGAAACCCTGTTTTGCAATTCCCAGAACCTCATCTGATTATAATTGCAAGAAATTGGCTGCCAAGTTTCCGAGATTTTTGGAATAAGAAATACAAGGGCTGTACTGTAAGCCCTAAAACAAGCTTAACATAACAAAAGAATGCAATGAAAAAAAAATCTTCTTGATCCCTAAAATAAACTTAACATAACAAAACATGCAATGAACAAAAAATCTTCTACCTCAGAAAGTCCTGGCCCACAAATTTTCATGAGGTGGCTCTACTTACTTGACATCTCACTCAACGGGGACTTCAGTAAGACATATTAAGTAAAGCCTACCTAATCCTAAATATGTTGCACTTGACTTACATAGACAATTGACCCCAAAGTTAGTGAGACATTTGCCCCCTTTTACAACCTTTTTGTCACAGTCATTAACTGAATCACTGCAGTTGTTAAAGTTAAGTGTTGTTAAGTGAATCTAGTTTCTCCAGATTTTGCTTGTCAGAACGTCACAAAAGGTGATCACATGACCCTGTGACACTACAGCCATTATAAATAGGAGTGACTGAATTTTGATCAAGTGACCATGGGAATGCTGCGATGGGTATTAATGTGAAAAATGGTCACGTCACTTTTTCAGTACCATTGTAACTTTGAATAGTCACTAAATGAACAGTTGTAAACTGAGGATTACCTGTACTGTAATGCTAATTCATAGATTGGTATTACATTTGAAAAACCCTGTTCCTTTGAAAAATTATATTAGAAAAATAATAATGCTATATCTGGAAGTTGAGTCACGGCAACTGGACTTACATCTAGTTGCCATGACACAACTTTAGTTTAGTTTAGTTTACTTTATTGTCATTTCACTTCGTACAATGAAATCAAACATCTTCAGTGCACATCATGGCCATGAAAATAAACACAAACATACACCCTTCACATTCCACACATTGAACAGAAAACCCGCAACACTGCACTAACACTGCACTATACAGTAGAATTCAAAAGAGCTACTGCCCTGGGATATAAGCTATTTTTCAGATAACTTTTCAGATAACTTCCAGATAACTCTACCTGGATGACTGAGAATCTTCACTGACAACAATGCTACAGTTTTTGTAAGTAAATTGAGAAGGTCACAATACTTACAGGGGCTGACATCTCTGTACCTGTTGCGATTTTTGTTTTTCGGGTGTTTGGCTATTTTACATGGAAAGTCACTGGCTTCATGTTTGATTTCCTAGAAGTAAATAAAAGAAGACATTGGTATATGCTAAGACTTGTGCATATTACCACCTGAGTTGAACTGTTGGTTCAAAAAAAAAAAAATCACTGAGAGCTAGTGGCTTATCACCACACATAATTCTGTTTTCTCTTAACAGTTGCTGTGCAAAATTTCCAAATAATGACAGTTTTTAAGATTAATAATGGCAAAGATTGAAGGCATGTATTACAGACTAGCAGCATATGTCATTACTGAAAATAAATTTGGAAATTTATGAGAATGTTAAAAGAAGGGTATCATGTTTCATTGGATTTACAGCATGAAATACAATTTTACTGCTGAAATTAAAAACAAGCATCAAAATGTGTATTGGGGCAGCACAAAGACAGACATGCAAGAAGAGCAACTGAACAAGGATATCTACAGGAACACACATGTTTCTTGATATCCTACATGCCACCCTTTCATATATGCATATTAACAGCTAAAGGCTACAAATGCCTGGTTAAGATAAGAGCATAGGTTTCCTTGAGTCATCAGCAAGCTACACAGGAGCTGTAAATGTTAAAAGGATGAGGCATATTGTACTTCACAGCAACAGTAGAGTTATTACAGCCATCCAATTTGACACTGATCATTCATTTCTCTGGCAACTCACATAAAATCCAACATTTGCTGTAAATAACGTTCTAACAAAAGCTATGTGTAGGATCAATCAAACCTGTACACTGCATGTCAGGAACTTAAAAAACAAACAAACAAACAAAGCATGTATAACTTAAAAATGCAGGGATTAAAAATAAAGAGAAAGAGAGAAGTTATAGGATTTTCACTTGAGACACTTTTTTCCCACTAGACTTGGAGTGAAGCCTTTCTTTAACTTTTACGGTTAAGTAAATAAATGCAATATGCATAATTAAATAAATGTGAGACAGCTTACACTAAAGCCATGCAAGTTTGGATTTTTCCATAGCCCAGGGGAGAACTTACAGCCCTCCAAGATAATGCTGGACTACAACAATGTATGGTTTTTTCTCCATCCTCTTAAGAGTTAATCATTTTAGCATTCATTCTCTTTTTAATCTTTGAACTGTGCCTTTAAAATTTATGAGCCATGTTGAGTGCTCATTTGAGCAGAGACAGAATATAAATCAGAGATCCTGCTCCTAGACCAAATGGACACTGCTGGCTGCAGCTGAGGTTGGAAACCTCAAGGTTCCCTTACTTCTACTGTAGTCTCCTTAAATATAAGATACAATATTTTGTGCCAGATCAAAATCCAGTTCTTTCTCCGTCTTTCTTTCTCCGATATTCTAGTCAAGTTACAGTACTAAAACTAAAGGATGCTTTGAAAATCCTCTCAGACACAAGTGCATTGAAATTTTCTGACAGTGAATGGTCCATGTTTCTTGCAGGGACTGGGAAAAAGCCGCTATTGAAGGAAAAACAACAATAACAGACCTTGGCCCACAAGAAGTAACCAAAACAATTAGTGTAACAGTTTCTCAAGAGGGTAGTTGCCAGCTTATTATAAAGATCCACTGCATGAAACTGATTTTCCAGAAAATTTCAAATTAGTTTCAGGCCTGATTTTAACATAGGAATAGACTGGATGGATCTTTTCTTCTCTGTTAGCTTTAAGCTATTTTTAGCCTTTTGAGATTGTATGAGTGCCTTTTTCTGATTGTATGAATACTCTATATCAGGGGTGTCAAACTCAAGGTACGGGGGGGGACTGGATCTGGCCTGCGGGATTCTTAGATTGGACCCGTGGGGTGCCCTGGAAACATTGAAGGACTGGCCCGTGGTGTTTCTGCCAGTGAAAATGTATCTTTCAAGAGCTGTGCATGGCACTCCCAAGCTCCATTTTCATTGGCAGAGGGTTGCGGGAGGCCTTCCTTGCCAAATATGGAGCTTGGGAGCCACTTTCACTGGCAGAGCACTCAGGCCACTACAGGTACCCCCTTGATACAAGTGACATCAAGCTGGCCACACCCACCCTAGCCACGCTTCCTGCCCCCCTCAGGTCAAACACAACCCTGATGTGGGCCCCAATGAAATCAAGTTTGACATTCCTACTCTAAATCTACCATTATTAGAATGGTTCTGAATGGTTTGATTTCTTATGCTAAATCACCTTAGGAATGCTATTGTAGGGTAGCTGACATACTGGAAACAAATGAACGAATACTAAACACATGCTTATAAACAGGAGCATAATATATCCTTGAAAGAATAGTATAGGGACATTGCCAAATCTAATCTACTTTTTAAACCCCAGCCAGTGCAGGACAAGACTCTTCTAGTTTCATATCAATTTTTCTTGCAAAGCACTTTTCCTTGGTATTGCTTGGGAAGATAATTCTCAACTTTTGTTTTATTAGCTTTACAGAAGGTTTCATAGTCTCTGGATAAGGGCATCCTATTACACCCTTTACAAAAGTTAAAAGAACAAATGTGTTTGCAATTCACCAGTTATGTTTAAAACATGACACAAAACAACAAAGACGATCCATTTCTGAGTGGCACAAAAATAAACAAAGTTGCCTTCCTGGTGAAATGGGCATTGTATACATTTAATAAATAATAAAATAAATATTCAAAGATAGAGCTCACAAATGACCAATATTTGCACTTTAGCACATGTTGTCATTTCCAAAATATAAGCAGTTCACAGATTTTACATGTGTGAGAACTGTGCAGCCCTCATTTTAATGCAGAGTATAAAATCAATACATGATCCAATACATTAATGGAGGGATTTCTGATGAGCAAGCAGGATAATTCAAATATAATCAGTCGTGGTTTTAATCTTATCTAGCACACCCTGGCAGAGATTTATTCTCTGTTCCCATTATAATAGCCTCAGTAGTCTTAAGGGGGAAAAAATGGTGCATTTTCCATACAGTATCGGAAGCAGAAGTCTTGTTCTTCTTCTTCTTTTCCTTAAGTTATTTCAAGGGTTCAATACTTATGCAGTTTGAGGATGAGTAATAGGATATCAACAGCCTTATGTGCTTGAATCATTTAAGAAAAATAGGTTTATTAGCAAGGACAGCATATGAGTGGGAAGGAAAGGCAGGAAAGGGTTGACTGATCATTGTGGCGTTCGGGAAAGACTGAGCTGAAGTCTTCACTCCGGTCCGTGTTTCCAGCGGGAACACGGACCGTTCCTATTGGCTGATGCTGTTTGACAGCCGGCTATAAAAGAAGCTGTCAAACGGCATCAGCTGTTGTCCGCCAGCTGGCTACCTTGTTAGTGCGGCAGCCGCGGCAACCCTTTATTGTTACAATAAAGTAAAAGCTGAAGTTCGCTCTGTGTTCGCCTCAGGTTATTCCGCCGCTCTACAACAATCACTATTTCCCATCTCCTCTGCCTTTCTTGTAAGACTAAAATGGAACAGCTTTCCATTTCGCTCATGAGTAAAGGAGTCTACTTATAGTATATATAAAGGGGGTTTAGATCAAGAATGAAGGGAGCAGAAATGAACATGACAGTGCCATCATCCTCTTATCAAGTCTTTCAGATCCACTATAATGGACTACTACATTCTTGGGAGTCTAAAGAGTCATGGAAACTGGATCAAACTTCATTAATCTGAGACATTTCGTTGCTCATCCAAGCAACTTTATCAATCAGAGCAAAATTAGTGAGGCAGGGAATCAGACAGTTGTTGGAATGTACCAACTCTTGTCACACCAATGTCAGGGGTTTTCCCCCAAAATGGGGGAATGAATGAATAAAGACTCAAATATCCAGGCCAAAGGTGTCTAAAGGTGAACTCATGGCAACTGGACCAAACTTTGTTAGTCTGAGGTGTTTCATTGCTCATCCAAGCAACTTCATCAGTCAGAGCAAAATTTGTTAGGCAGAGAGTTAGAGTTGGAATGTACCAATTCTTGTCATAGCAACTTCAGGAGTTTCTTCCCAAATGTGTTGAAAAATGTCAATGAAGACTCAATCATCCAGGTCAAAGGTGCCTAAATGTTGAATCATGACAAATGTGGGAGCGCTGAACATGCTATTTTTTTTAATGTTGCAATGTTTTTTATATTTTTTTAAGTGGCTAATTTTATTAATTAGTAAGAATGAAATTCAAGTCTCAGCTCCTAGAATGGGTGGTTGAATCAGGAACTAGATCCTTATAGCTTTGACCTCCAGAGTGTCCCTGAATGTTCAGGTTAATTTCCCTGTATTCTTCAACCCAAGAATAGAGAAAAATATGGTGACTTAAGTCTTGAACCCCAATTTACCAGTCTTTGCTCTTTCCTCAAACTTGGTGTACTCCAGATGTATTGGGATTATATCTCCCAAAATTTACAGTTACTACAATCATCACATGTGAGGCAATGAAGATTAAGAATAAGTTAACTAGGATGGGAAGAACCAGCAATAACAACAATAACAAAACCGCAAACGCAAGACAACTGAAAGATATTGCACCCCTACTTATTTTTAATTCTGTCTTCTGTTTCTGTATTCTGTCATTCATGGTTTTTTTGGATTAGAAAATGCAATTTATGGGCCCCATTCCTGCTTATCATTGTTTCTCCACTTGGTGTGGAGAAACTTTCCATAAATATCATATTGTCCAACCAGAAATTTCCTTTAATCAGGTCGTCATTATTTGCATTACTGAGGCTGACAAAGGTTTCATAGTAGTTACAGTATGTGGCTCATGTTATAGTGATGTGAGATTTTGCTAGAATGAGGCCAAAGTCTGCAAAAGGAGACTATAAAAAAAAATAGGTCAAACTTTTTTTATGTAATCCTGTTCTAGAATTACTACATTCAAAATGGCTTTTCGAAAGAAACTTACTGCAAATAAGTTTGTTGAACAAATGAGAAGTACTATAAATAGTCCTCCAGTTACGATACGACCAGTTGCTTAGCAACCAAAGTTGTAGCAAATCCCCCAAAAGAGACTTATGACCTGGACTTAAAGCACATTTGACTGCATTTTAGGTGCTCAGCAAGCAGTCTGAATCTATGCAGTGCCCTGAGGTCACAGTGA